ACAAAAGCTTCATGCTACACATTGTTCTAAGGGGGGGTGTGTGGGGGGATATAGGCATGCACATGTATTCTTGTGCATACACACGTGTGTGAATGCAGGTGAGCAAGTGGAGGCCAGAGGTCAACAACACCTCTTCCTCTCTTTTTTCATTTTTGGTCTTTTTGAAACAGGGTCTCCCTGTAGCCCCAGCTGTCCTAGAACTCACTCTGTAAACCAGGCTGGCCTTGAACTCACAGAGATCCACCTGCCTCTGCCTCCTGCTTGTTGGGATTAAAGGCGTGTGCCACCAAGCCTGGCCTTAGACCTCCCTTTTTTTTTTTGTCTGTTTCTTTTTGAGACGGTCTCTTACTGAGCCTGGAACTTGCCTATTTGGCTACACTTACTGGTCAACAAACCCCGGGATCCTCCTGTCCCCACTTCCCCAGCACTGGAATACAGGTGCAACCTGCCACATTTGGCTTTTCGAGCAGGTGCTGGAGACCTGAACTCAGGTCCTTATGCTTGCATGGCAAGCACTTAACCTGCTGAGCCCTCTTCCCAACTCCCATTCTAAAGTTTTTACACAAACATTAGCCCCTTCATTGTAGCAGAACCCTATGTTCTAAAGCCATCTATTCATTTTTTAGGGACGACTGAGCATGGGGGTTAAAAACCCTGCTCTTCCCCTATCACTAGTGGCAAGACTTCGATTTGAACTTCACCTTCCTGGCTTTAAATATTCTTCTCACTGGCAAGGACATGCCCCTGGGTGAACAGGGTCCACCAACCTGGGTATAGGCTCTCTATGGTGTCTGTGTGGATGGATCCCACTCACCTGGACACGTGCCTCACTCAGGTTGACACGCCTGGCCAGCTCCTCACGCACAAAGGCGTCGGGGTAGTGGGTGCGCTCAAACACGCGCTCTAGTGCCTGTAGTTGGCTGCTGTTGAACGTGGTACGATTCCGACGCTGCTTCTTCTTCCGTTTGGTGGCACTGCCACGGCTGGGGCTGGGACAGTCACCTGAGGAGAGGTGGAAAGTCAGCAAAGGGGCTGTGCTGTCCCCGTAGTGTCTCCTGTGCCACATGGAGCCCCTAAGGCCCTGTCCAGGATCAGCCACCTGCTCGGCTTACACTGGCTTTCTAGTATCTCCCTCTGCTGGTGTATTCAGACTTGAGGGCTAGAAAATGTCCCCCTAAGAGCCAGGAGCAGTGGTGCACGCTATTAGCCCCAGCACTTGGGAGGCAGAGGCAGAGGCAGGTGGATCTCTGTGAGTTCAAGGCCAGCCTGGTTTACATAGTGAGTTCCAGGACAGCTGGAGCTACAGGGAGACTGACTCAAAAAAAAAAATGTCCCCTTAACCCACTTGTTATTTGTGCCTATGTCCATTCATCCACCCACCCAACTGTCCATCCATCCGTCTATCTATCCAGTCAGCCAGCCACCTATCCACCTACCCACCTGTCCATCCATCCATTCACCCATCCATCCATCCACCCATCCACCCACTCATCCCTCCATCTACTACCCATCCACCCATCCATCCACTCATCCATCCACCCCATCCATCCATCCATCCACTACCAATCCAGTCATCCATCCATCCATTCACTCACCCATCCATCCATCCATCCATTCACCTACCCACCCATACATCCATTTATCCACCTACCACCCATCCATCCATCCACCCATCCATCCACCCACCCATCTGTCCATCCACCCATCCATCCATCCATCCATCCATCCATCCACCCACCCATCCATCAATCCATTCACCCATCCATCCACCCATATACCCATTCATCCATCTATCCATTCACCTACCCACCCATCCATCCATTTATCCACCTACCACCCACCCATCCATCCATCCATCCATCCACCCACCCATCCACCCATCCATCCACCCACCCATCCATCAATCCATTCATCCATCCATCCACCCATATACCCATTCATCCATTCACCTACCCACCCATCCATCCATCCATTCATCCGTCCATCCACCCACCCATCCACCCATCCACCCACCCATCCCTACATTCTGCAATGAGAGAAAGCATGGTATTTGTCTTTGTGCCCCCCATAACCTTCTCGTGTTCCCGTCTCCCATCGGTCCCCTTCTCACTACACCATTTTCAGTTATACGCGAGCAAGCACGTGGTATTTATATTGCAGGTTCTGGCTCATTTTACTTAACGTGATGCTATCCAGTTCCATCTATTTCTCTACAAATAACAATTTCATTCTTCTTTATAGACAAATCCCATTGTGTATGTGTCACATTTTCTTTATCCATTCATCTATTGGTGGACATCTAGGCTGATTACATTTCCTTGCTGTTGTGAGTAGAGCAACAATAAACACAGATGTGCAAGTATCTCTGTGGTATGCTGACTTTGATACCCATCCACCCACCCATCCACCCACCCATGCATATATCCTTCTGTACTTATTTACTAGGTGCCCATGGTGCAGCAGCTTCAGTCTAGGCCTGTGGAACTTAATGTTCAGGGGCAGCCAGACCCCTGCTTTGTGGAGCCTGATGTTCGAGCTTACTAAAATAGGAGCCACCTAAGAGCCCTGTGGTCAGGACTGGCTCCATCAGGGACAACTGACCGGTTAAAGCAGGCCCAAGGGACACCAGGAAGCTCCTCCTTCTCTGACTCTTCATGTAGATCAGGCTGGCCTTGAACTCACAATCCCTCTGCCTCAGCTTTCCAAGTGCTGAGATCACACTTTCATGCAGCACCATGCCCAGCACAACTTTTGCTGTTGAATCACAGTAATAATATATTCTAGGGAGTGGAGAGATGGCTCAGAGGTTAAGAGCAATGGCTGCTCTTGCAGAGGACCCAGGTTCGATTCCCAGCACCCACATGGCAGCTAACAACCATCTGTAACTTCAGTTGCAGGGGATCTGATGCTCTCTTCTGGCTCTGAGGGCACTGCACAACATGGGTGCACTTACACACATGTAGGCGGTAGACTCACATTATTAAAAGAATGGTGCAGCTGGGCGTGGTGGCACACATCTTTAATCCCAGTACTCGGGAGGCAGAGGCAGGCGGATCTCTGTGAGTTCAAGGCCAGCCTGGTCTGCATAGTGAGTTCCAGGAGGACAGCTGGGGCTACAGGGAGACCCTGTCTCAAGAAGACCGAAAAAAAAAAAAAAAGAATAGGGCATTATAAAGAGCAGTACACAGCTGTGTGGTGGCACATACTTGTAGCACATCTTTAATCCCAGTACTCGGGAGGCAGAGGCAGGCCGATCTCTGTGAGTTCAAGGCCAGCCTGGTCTGCATAGTGAGTTCCAGGAGGACAGCTGGGGCTACAGGGAGACCCTGTCTCAAAAAGACCGAAAAAAAAAAAAAAAGAATAGTGCATTATAAAGAGCAGTACACAGCTGTGTGGTGGCACATACTTGTAATACCAGCAGTTGAGAGGTGGAGGCAGGAGGATCAGGAGTTCAAAGTCATCCCTAGCTACATAACAAGTTTGGGACCAGCCTGGACTACATGAGAACTCTTCTCAAAAAAAAAACAAAAACAAAAACAAAAAAGCCTTCAAAAATTAAAAAGTAAAAATAACAAAGAACAGTTTCAGCCAAGGCTGTGAGGACCACTGCGTGCACATCCCTGAGCACCCACAGATCTTGGGGTGCTAACGGAAGCCAAAGCTGTGAGGATCAAGGTTCACAGGCTCCTGAGCACCCACAAATGTTGGGGTGCTCATGGGAGTCCAACAGAAGCTCTGGTCCTCCTGGCTCCTCCCTTGCAGTAGGACAGGAAGATTCAGAGAAACTAAGGTGTCCAGCCTAAGTTCAAGGAACCAGTGGTAGAGAATTTGAGATGACAGTGACTATTCCGTGTCAGGGCCTTTCTCCTCCCCCTCCGCCGCTGCCTTCTCCTCCTACCAAACCTCCTCCAGGGGCAGCACAGGGCCACTCTGAGCACCTGGAGCCACCCGCTGTCCCAGGGCCAGCTGGGAGCTGAGGAGGGAGATCCTTGGGATTCCCCAGCAGGAAGACAAGCCCCAATCAGATAACACTGTGCTCTGGGGTGCGCAAAGGAGCCCCAGATTCTTGAGCTGGGTGTCAGGGAGGTCAGAGATTCCTCCAATCAGACACAGTGAGGTAGACCAGGCAGGCCCAATAAACCCAGCAAAAGTAGCTGGGGGAGATGCTCCTGGCAGAGAGCTGGCCCAGGCTGGGCCTGTGGTACCCAAGGAACAGTGCTGGTAAACAGGATCTTGCACAGCCCTAGGGGAGGCAAGATGCCAGCACTTTTGACTGTCACCAGCTGGGCACGCCTTGTCCCATGAAGAGTGGGGTGGGAAATTCGGCCCCTGTTTCTACATTTTAAAAACATTTTTATCATTTATTTATTTATTTATTTATTTATTTATTTATTTACTCTGTGTGTGTGTGTGTGTGTGTGTGTGTGTGTGCGTGCTCGCACACACATGCACAATTGAGTGTGTCTGCTAATTTGTGGAGGTCAGAGAACAACTTGCAGGAGTCAATTCTCTCCTTCTACCATGTGGGTCCTGGGGCTTGAACCCAGCTCACCAGTTGCCTTTGCCCACTGAACCATCTTACCACCCCTCTCATTCTACATTTTTTTAATTGAAAAAAAAAAAAGGCATAGTGGTGCACAACTTTAATCCCAGCACTCTAGAGACAGAGGCAGATGGACCTCTGTGAGTTTGATGCTAGGCTAGTCTACATAATGAGTTCTAGGCCAGCCAGAGTAACACAGTGAGACAGGGTTCTCAGGTAGCCTAGGCTGGCCTGGAACTTGCTATATAGCCAAGGATGGCCTTGAACTCCTAATCTTCCTGCTTTCACTTCCTGGGTCCTGGGATTGGAGGTGTGCACCACCAACGCCTGGCATGGGTGCATTTCTACATTTAGGTTCATCTAGGACAGAAGGTGTTCCGTTACACAAGACCCAGCCCACTTCCCCTCTCCAGGGAGCCTCCTGACTGCCCAGGCCTGGGGATCCGCTGCCCTTGGCTCTCTCACCCAGCACTTGACACCAGCATTAGGCACCTGAGCACTTCTTTGGTTATTGTGTGTTTGTTTTATTTTTTGTTTATATTGTTTTGATTTTTTGGGACAGGGTTTCTCTGTAGCCCCAGCTGGCCTGGAACTCACTATGTAGACCAAGTCAGCCTCAATCTCACAGAGATCCTCCTGCCTCTGCCTCCCGAGTGCTGTGATTAAAGGCGTGTGCCACCACACCCGGCTGTTTCTAATCTTTCGAAGCTAAAACAATATCATAATAAATTCTTCCACAGCAAACAGGGGCCTCTATTTTTGTTGGTGCGGATTTCTAGAAGTGGGAGTTCTGACTAAGGAGTAAATGCTGGGTGTGGCCCACACTGCACAGGCCTGTCCTGTTCCTGCTCCACTGCTGCTGGGGAGGGCCAGTGTCTGCAGTCAGTCATCCCAGCCCGGCTCAGGCCATCTTTGGGATTCTAATCTATGCAATTCCAATAATCAAAAAACAGCTCATGCTGGGATGTGGCTCTGGAACAGTGTTTGCCTGGCATGGGAGAGGCCCTGGGTTTTGTCCTTGGTAATGCAGAAGGAAGGGAGGAAAGAAGGGAGGGTGGGAGGGAGGGAGGGAGGGAAGCGGGGGGAGAAAGGGTGAGAGGGAGGGAAGAAAGGAAGGAGGAAAAGAGAAGAGGGATCAGTGTAGGTGCCCAGTGGGTAAAGGCGCCTGCCACTGAGCCTGATAATCTCAGTTCAACCCCTGGAGCCACATGGTGGAAGGCAAGAACTGGTCTCACAAGTTGTTCTCTTACCTCCACAGGTATGCCTCCCCAACACTCTCTCTCTCTCAATAAATACATAAATAAATAAAATTTTAAATATATAATACGGCCTAGAGAGATGGCTCAGTGGTTAAGAGCACTAACTGCTCTTGCTCTTGCAGAAGACCTGGGTTCTGTTCCCAGCACCCACATGGCAGCTAACCACCATCTCTAACTCCAGTTCCAGAGGAGTCAATGTT